ATTTGCCCAAAATTTGACGTGCTTCAGGGCCAAAGGCCCTGAGTTGTGAGCATTGGCCCGTTTCCACTCAAATTAGACTAGCAATTCGTCAAAAACAAACAAACTCGAAATTAAATTAAGTTATTATTTTGCCTTCATCATTTTGGAATAGTGATTTTTTAAAAATTAGAGTAACCATCATCCAAGTTTATATTTCGTTGCATATTCCATATCAATTCACTTAAAAGAAATACTACTAAATTCTGTTAATATTCTTGAAAATATATATATAATGTGATTTATTTCATAAAATAGTCTTATGTTTTGCAATACAATTGACAAATTATTAGAGAATTCACATAAATACGTGTAAATAACTTAATAAAGCTAATTAAAAATTCATCAAATATTTATATCGCTTGACTTGATATCATTTTCTTAATTTTTTATTTTTACTCTCTTAAGATATATATGATTTTAAGTTTACAAAACTAATTTAATATTATAATAACAATAAAAATGCATTGGAGTTCTTTTCAGTTATTTTTTGTAGTAAGTATTTTAGATTATATTTGTTCATTTTTTTTAAAATGAGTAATCAATCAACTTTCACAAAATAAGATTAAGATGAGATAACTTTGTACAAAATGATTAAAAAATTAAGGGTCTGTTCTTTTTGCTATTTTCAAACCATTTTCAGTTTTCGAAAACATTCAAAACATGTTCACTTACCTATTTTTGGAAATGAATTTCAGAAAACAAGTTTAAAATTTACANCTGTTCTTTTTGCTATTTTCAAACCATTTTCAGTTTTCGAAAACACTGAAAATACGTTTACTTACCTATTTTCAGAAACGAATTTCCAAAAACGAGTTTAAAATTTACAAAGAAAACGGAAAACGCCAAAAAATCGTTTTGGCTGTTTTCAGTTTAAACCAAGCCAAAACTTTGTTTTTTTATTTTTATTTTTGAAAATAATTTCTCAAAATGACAAAAAGAACGTTTTTTCACCAATCTCAAAATGGACACTCAAAACACAAAACTCAAAATGAATTCAAAATTCAAAATTGAAACACGAAGAGAACATTCCCCAAGTCTCTTTAAACTAAAACAAATTGTTTTATGGTTTAATAGCAAAATACCCTATTAGACGTTGTGGGAAAAATTTCCTATCTATTGAAAATATCAAAAAATATCTTTATTTGAAATATTTAGTGCGAAATATCCCTGTAGTCCATATTCTTGAGAAAAAATTGTTAAATGACGAATATGTCCTCCTATTTAAATAAAACAAAAAGAAAAGAAGAAACAAATGAAGAAATAATTTAAATTGTAGTCCCGAATTTTTTTAAAAATGTGCAAACGAGTCCTAAATGAATAATTATAAAATTAAAATTAAGAAGGCAAAATAATACAACCTGACATAAAAAGACAAAATGAGTATTTATTTTCATGTAGGTGACAATTGTTCACCAATTAAAAACTTGAATTCTTCATTATTGGCAGCTGCTGATAGACCACAGGGAATTATATTCAAAGATGGTTTTCTTGTTGATTAATTATTGTCCCCAAAAAGGTCAAAAATGGGTGGAATTGTTTATTGATTACAACATCATAGTTTTACCAGTTTCAATTCTAGTGAAATATGTGCATTGAATTAATTTTTAGGTTATGAAAATAATCACTGTTGATATAATTCTCCTCCTTTTGATAATCAGGAAACCTTAATATTGCTCAACATTAAAGAGCTAGCAGCACATAGAAAGGAAACGTGATAACACATAATTCACGAACAATTTTCTAGTTCCTGTTGATTTAATTGTCAATGCTGGAAAATTATACATTAAAATTCATTTTTTCCCGTATAATTCCGAGAATTTAAAGACATAATTGAGAATACTAACATTTTTATTTCATTAGGATCCACATTTCAAGATCACAGTGATCTTATTGATACAATAAAACGGAATCCTATTTTCTAAGAAAATTTCAAAATATCTAAATGCTACCATAAGCAAAACCTTAATCAAAGAAAACAATCTAAAATTATCATAAAATAATAAAATTTTAAAAACTGTTAAAATAATTAATGATTTTCATACTGAACTGTTTCATAATCTATATTCAAAGCAGCTTTATAGCTCTTTTTTTAATCCATTTGTTTCACCGTGCCTGCCTGGATTATTTCGATAAGAAAGATGCTTGCTTTCCTTGACCAAAAGTTAAAAATTATCCATTCCTTACAAAAACATTTTAAATTATTTTATGCAGTCGTCAAAAATGACCAACCTGAGCTATACACTGCAGTTTTTGTATATAAATAGCGGCAGTTCTTTAGTCTATGATCAACCTGAGCTATGCACTGCAGTGTCAACATAAACAGCCATTCTGCTTTTACCATAATATTTTCTTATTTTTCTTCTACTATTTCCAAGAAGAGAATGGCTTCGGTAATTATTAGATGTGGGATT